AACCAAAGAGCAAAAAAAAAAAAAAAAAAATCACCTTTTCCCAGACCTGTACAAACTCCAGTGCAGTTATAGCAGGGGCAGGCAATTATTTCAGGCAGAGGGCCGCTTACTGAGTTTTGGCAAGCCGTTGAGGGCCGCATGACAGGAAGCCGGGGGCAGATAAACATTCATTTTCTACATTTTTAGGGGCTCTGCGGGCTGGATAGAATGGCCTGGCGGGCCGCATCTGGCCCACGGGCTGCATGTTGCCCATCCCTCAGTTATAGCCTAATGGGCTGCGCTGCCCTGCCTTCCTGCAGACAAACCAGGAGTGTAATTAATGTGCCTATCCTCTAAACGCAACTCAGGAACTCCCTCTGCATGACCTTGGGCACGCCCCTGCCCTCCCTCTCCCTGCCTCAGTTTCCCCACCCCTGCAACAGCAGCCTCAGTCCCAGGGGTGGAGGGGGTATGTTACCGTCCATAGCGGCCCAGCCAAGATGCAGGCCTCATTAATGCTACGCACTGCACAAACACAGTGCCAGCCTCCGTAGGCTCAGAGCTGACAATCTGAACAGACAAGACAGACGAGGGGCGGAGCAGGAAGTGATTTGCTTAGGGCCACCCAACAAGTCAGTGGCAGAGCTGGGAGGTGCCTTAACTGCACCCCCCCACCCCCACCCCAGCCTGAATCATGCTGAGACTCCCCACATGTCATTACACTTGTGAGTGCTACGTACACATCACACTTGTGACCCGTACACAGCAATAGACACAGCGGCAAATGCAGCCTTCCAGAACCCCTCGCTACATGAATTTCCCTCCTGGTCCTCCGTTTGCGACGCAGTCTGCAAACAGATCAGGGCTCAGTGAGGATCGCTGAAGCACTGGGGTTCCCCGGGCAGCTTCCACCTGGGGCAGGGATGGGGTCTGCCTGCATCTGAATCTATGAATTTCCAACAGGCACTGCCATTCTGCAGGTAGGAGCAGAAACAGCCCGAGTCATACAAATGCAATGTCTGGTGGCTAAGGGACAGCCCAGGACACCTGGGGACTTCGCCCACCTCCAAGATGGATTCATGGTGTGGCAGGAGGCAAGTGGCCTTCCCTCTCTGTGCCTCGGTTTCCCCATCCGGACAAGAAGGAAGATCATGCGACTCACCTCTCACTAAAAAGGCATGCCCCACAGAAGCAGCATAGTGTTAACGTCCTTGTATTTTAGAGGGTTGGTTTCATACTTTCTAGGGTCAGAAGGGACCTGAATAGATCATCAAGTCCAATCCCCTGCCCTGGGCAGGAACAAGTGCTGGGATCATAATACCCCAGCCAGATATCTATCCAACCTCCTCCTGAAGACCCCCAAGGTAGGGGAGAGTACCACCTCCCTTGGGAGCCTGTTCCAGAGCGTGGCAGCCCTCACTGTAAAGTAATGCCTCCTAATATCAAGCCTGAACCTGCTCTCAGTCAATTTGTGGCCATTATTCCTTGTTGTCCCAGGTGGTGCCCAGGGGAACAGAGCCTCACCTATTTTACGCTGGTCCCCTGCTAAGTTTATAGACAGTCACCAGGTCCCCCCTCAGCCTTCTCTTGTGGAGGCTGAACAGGTTCAGGTCCTGTAGCCTCTCCTCGTAGGGCCTGCCCTGCTGCCCCCTGATCATGCGAGTGGCCTCCTCTGGACCCTCTCCATGTTGTCCACATCCCTCTTGAAGTGCGGCACCCAGAACTGGACACAGTACTCCAACTGCGGCCTGACCAGTGCCGCATAGAGGGGAGGATCACCTCCTTGGACCTGCTCGAGATGCATCTGTGGATGCATGACAAGGTGAGGTTAGCCTTGCTGGCCACTTCCTTGCATTGGTGGCTCATGTCCATCCTGGAGTCAACAATGACTCCAAGATCCCTTTCTGCCACTGTGCTGACAAGAAGGGTGTTTCCCAGCCTACAGGTGAGTTGTTGGTTCCTTCTCCCCAGATGCAACACCTTGCACTTGTCTGCATTGAATCCTATTCTCATCCACCCACCTCTGTAACCTGTTTAGATAGCTTCATAGTTTCATAGTTTCTAGGGTCGGAAGGGA